AAATTCTGAGTGTGTTCTTCGCTTTTGGTTTTATAACTCTAGGTCTGCACGTTTCATTTTAATGTTTGACTTTGTCTTCTCGAGCTGCCCTTTATAATGTTCTCTTCAGCTTTTTTACCTCCTTATTTCTTCCATTTTCTTTAGCATCTGTACACTGGAGAACAAGTTTCAGAGTCTACTCTGACATCCATTTTGGTCTTTTTCTTTTTTCATGGCTTCTAATGACATTTTGCTTTCTTCCTGCATGTTGTTCGTAATGTCATCCCACAACTCTTTTGGTTTTTGATCATTAGAATTTAATGCATCAAATCTGTTCTTGAGATGAACTCTAAATTCAGGTGAGATATGTTCAAGATCAATTTTGGTTCTTGTGGACTTGTTTTAATTTTCTTCAGCTTCAATCTGAACTTGTATATGAGCAATTAATGGTTTGTTCCACCGTCTGCCCTGACCTTGTTTTGGCTGTGATATGGAGCTTTTCTACCATCATTTTCCACAGATGTAGTCAATTTGATATGTGTTTCATCTGGTGAGGTCCATGTAGTCTTCTTTTGTTGTTGTTGTTAAGTGCCATCGAGTCGGGTCCGACCCGTAGCGACCCTGTACAGGGTTTCCGAGGGTGTAAATCTTTACGGGAGTAGAAAGCCTCATCTTTCTCCCGCGGAGCGACTGGTTAGTTTCGAACCGCTGACCTTAAGGTTCGCAGCCCGATTCGTAACCACTACGCTACCAGAGCTTAAAAAGGTATTTGCAATAAAGAAGTCATTGGTCTTGCAAAATTCTGTCATATGATCTCTAGCATCATTTCTATCAGCAAAACCATGTGATCCAACTACTGATCTTCCTTATGTGTTTCCAACATTTGCATTCCAATCACCAGTAATTATCAGCACATCTTGATAGCATGCTTGATCAATTTCAGACTAAAGAAGTTGGTAGAATTCTTCAATTTCATCATCACTGACTTTAGTGGTGAATAATAGTGGTACTAACTGGTCTTCCTGGTAGCCGTATGGGTATCATCCTATTACAGATAGCATTGCACTCAAGACAGATCTTGAAATAGTCTTTTTGAGGATGAATGCAATGCCATTTGTCTTCAATTTGTTATTCCCAGAATAGTAAATCATGTGATTGCCAGATTCATAATGGCCAATACCAGTCCATATCACCTCACTAATATCTAGGATATCAATGTTTATGTGTTCCCATTTCATTTTTGACAGTTTCCATTTTTTCTAGATTCATACGTTCCATGTTCTGATGATTAATGGTTGTTTACAGCTGTTTGTCTTCATTTTGAGTTTTGCCCCATCAGCAGATGAAGATCCCAAAGGCTTTACTCCATTCGTGTTATCATGGTCAGCTGTACTTTGAGGAGGCAGTTCTTTCCCAGTAGTGTTTTGAGTGCCTTCCAACCTGAGGGACTCATCTTCAGGCACTGTATCTGATAATATTCTGGTGCTCTTCATCATGTTTCGGTATTCAGTATTCTGGTACTGACAGTGTTCCACTGCTATTCACAGGATTTTCAGTGAGTAAATATTTGGAAGTAGTCCACATATCCTTCTTCTGAGTCTTAGTCTGGAAGCTGCCCGTGATGGGTGACCCTGGTATTTAAAATACCGGAAGCATAGCTTACATACAGACATACAGCAACACGCCAGCCACCACAATTCAACAAACTGGCTGACAAGTGGTGGGAAGTTTCCATTACTAATTATAAATTCTTTCTTGAGAGCTAGTTAAAAAAAGAGCTATGTCCCCTTTTGCTTGAATGTTGTTATGTACTGTCGATTCTGTTCCAACTCATAGAAACTCCATATAGGGTTTCGAAAGAGCAGCTGGTGGGTTTGATCTGCCAACCTTGTACTTAGGAGTCCAGTGCTTACCCTTCTTCAGTGCCATACCAGGACCTTTCTTGAATGGACGTAATGTAATATTGGTAAGTTTTATTCAGGGATTCCTAGATGATGGTCTATAAAGTAGACCTTTACATTAGATTTACACCAAATACACGACATTGCCTTGTCTTTTTTTTTTTGCTTTTTTTGCCTTGTCTTTTTTGTACAACTTTAATGTCAGTCATCACTTATACACAAGAAATATTCATCATATCTAGTCTACTAGGTACTGGCTTGGTGCTGGGGACTCAGCTTTGAATAATATGAAGTGTTCTTCCTCTAAGGAACTTAGACTCTTAATGAGTCACTGAAATCACTGATATAACAAAAACTATAATATTACTAAATAATAAGGTGCCCAAACCCAGCCCAGTGCCGTTGAATCGATTCTGACTCGTAGTGACCTTGTAAGACACAGTAGAACTGCCCCCCTGGGGTTTCCGAGACTGATAGTCTTTATGGGAGCAAACTGTCGACTTTCTGGGAAGCAGCCCAATACTTATCACTGTGCCACCAGGGCGTCTTACATAGTAAGACTTTTTTAAAAAACGAAACATTGCTATCACGTCAGTTCCCACTCATAGTGACCCTATGTTCAAACTCTCATATACGCTGGGTTCCAAGGCTATAAAGCTTTATGGGAGCAGCCAGCGTCATATTTTCCCCGTGGAGTAGTTGGTGGTGGTTATGTGCCATGGAGTTGGTTCTGACTCATAGCGACCCTGTACAGGGTTTCTGAGGTTGTAAATCTTTACAGGAGCAGAAAGCCTCATCTTTCTCTTGCAAAGCAGCTGGTAGTTTCAAACTGCTGACCTGTGGTTAGCAATACAATTCATAACCACTGTGATATCAGGTTGGTGGGTTTGAACCACTGATCCTGCGATGAACAGTCCAGTGCTTACTCTACAGTCCCACCAGGGAAAATTTGTTATTAGATTCATCTGTAATATAAACAAACACAGAGAATGAGAGTTTGAACATAGGAAAGGCTAAAATGAAGATCGGCACTGCATTACGACTCGTGGACAAGAAATCCATTTCATTATGACATTATCAAAAGGTATGAAAGAAGATGGCAACCTATGTCAGTAAAATAAATACAGTGTTAACAGGATGAACTAAAAAAATATATATATATAATGATAGGAAATACCTACTGTTTCTTTTGCTCGTTATATCTGAGTTTTGCCCATTACATGATCTTTTACAAGACCCTTCTGTGATAGGTGGCATAGTGGGTGGTAAACACTGTGGTTAAGCACTCAGCTGCCAACCAAAAGGTTGGCTGTTGGAATCCAAAGGCAGCTGTTCTACAGGAGATTGTCATGGCAATCTGCTGCCATAAAGTTCACCATCGTGGAAACCTTCCAGGGAAGTTCTGCTGTGTTACATGGAGTCGCCATGAATGGATGGCACCTAACAATCATAGTGGTTGATAGCCTCTGTTCAAAGTCCACTCTCAGATTCTGGGCATGAGTTTAGATTCTGATTCCAATATTCTTTCCACAGCTTGGGTGGGGCTTGAGAATTTATGTTCAGCCTTCTCTCTCAACTGTTTGCAATTACTGAGTTTAAATCACACCCCAGTTGACTCCATTTTTGTCACATTTACTTTAAGCATAGAGTAAGAGAATCTCTGTGGCAAATCATGTCACCAGATGGTTATCCACATTAGCAAAGGTAAGTCAGCCATAGGTCATTTCCTGCTCTTACCTGTGGCATCTCCATGATGTGGAAATATAGGCACACAGAGGTGGTAGGGAACTTGGAGGTTACACATCTTTCAAAAGTAACTTGTTGAAAATATTATGAATTCCCTTTGAGTTTTGTTTTGCTTCGTCTTTGATTGCCCCTTTGGTTATACTTTTTATGTGCCCAGAAGGTTTAAGTTTGCCAAAGCTATAAATCTGTCAGTCTCATTGACATGGCTTTCATTTCAAATTATTGTTCAGCAGTAGAATTAGCAGTAACAGTTTGGGACTGAATTTTTCTACACAGGGCCATCGATATGGTCTGAACAGGCTGCCAAAGCCCACAAGATCCGTGAATTGTGTAAATTAATATAGGCAAGAGCTGGGTACCTTTCTGAAAGGCAAGACAATGCAGCGAACACAACCTCTAAATAGACTTTGGGGTCAAGTTCCTGTCAGGTTGAAGAATCAATATTCACTGGGCTTCATCAAGTTAGCCTTTAATGAACCCCAGGCATTTTGCTAGGCCATGAATTGTAGGAAGAGGAAAGGCAGCATTGGCTGAATTCTGTGTCTGTGGAGGCTGTCTGAAGACAAGTAAAGAGACAGTCCTTTGCTGGTGTGAAAAGATTCTACCCTTGGGTGATACTCATGCATTGTTGGGTACATGTATTGAAAGGCTTTCTTGGGATCTTACATTTTTAAGAAAGAGCAACTCTTGCATCCTAGCAGAAGGTAAGCCCTTACCCTCACAATTGTGTTTCATTTTCCTGGGGTGGATTCTGATGTCATTTTGGGTTCTGCCATATAATGTGCTAATCACTTTTCTCTTAGAGTATAGTTCATCCCACCCTGACAACTTGAAAGCATTGATGAAGGGAAGGATTGTAATAAAGAGCATTTACTTTAGGATGCTGACTTGAGTCCAAGTCTAATGAAAGGTTTTTGATAAACATCCTATGCGTTAGTTGTATTGTCCAAGAGAAGTGTTCCTTTGGTGGTGGTTTTGTTATATATAAGCGTTCTGTGTCCCTCACTGGGTTGTTAGAATCGTTTGTGGGTCAGCAGCTTTATCTTGTATTTACTTTTTATACCTAGTCAGTGCTCCTAATAGATATTATTGACTAGATACAGGTATGTGTTTTTATCATCTTTTATCCTGACTCTAATAAAACTAGAATCCTCATGGTGGTATTCATGCTCAGTAATTGGAAGTTCTAGAACCCCTTTTGCTCTACCCTGGAGAGTCAGAGTGTGGCCCCTGGATGTTTGTTAAAAGTTCTTGATCAGTTTTAGAATTGACTTTCCAGACCTCGTTCTCCAGTGCATTTTGTTAGGGAAGACATTGAAATTAATAAAAGGAAGAGCTGGCAGTTCTTTGTCGATCTTCCCACTCCCTTCTCCCCAGGGCCATTGTTCAGGATAAATCCTGAAAAGAACGAGCATGAGAGCTTTGTTGGAATTGTTGTGGTTTACTGTCCCTACTAGAGAACCTGATGGTTAATACTTCAAACACAATTTTCTTTAGATACTCATTATGGTTTTTAACCTTCTGGTTTTTTTCTCCCACTAGCTATTTGAGAACTTCTACTTTGGTGCCCTGAAGCTCAATTCAATCCACATCTCTCAGAGATTCACAGTAGACAGCTTTGGAAACTACGCTTCCTGTGGACACATTGACTTCTCCTGATGTGGATCCTCATGTGAACATCCTCATGAGGTGCTGAGGAAGATGTCTTTATTTTAATTGCCAAAGAGGAATGTGGACATTTGGATGGTGTCTTTCCTAGGTGGCTCCCCCATAAATTCAGTATGATCTCTGATGATTACCTGCTCATCAAACTGCCAGTCAAGATGGGTGTGAGCACAAGGAGCTCTTGTGCCCATGACCCTTGTTCATTGTACCTTTAGATCTTGGGAGAAAGACCTAGTGCTCTGCTCCTGTAAAGATTTCAACCTTGGAAACCCTGTGTCCCAGCAATGTTCTTCCTGTTGCTGAGTCAGAACTTACTTGATAACATAGCAGCACCAACAGTCTTCCCTTCTGAAGCCCATTGAGGGTCAGACTCACATGATTATGAACCTACTGATTTTTCTCCAGCCATTAAACTATTTTGCATTAATACTCTAAAAAATAATTGAAGACATATGATTTTATTAACCTCTTAGCTGAGATGGGATATCAGTTTCTAGGTTTGCCTTTTTCACTTCCCTTTATACCTTCAACTTTTCTTTTAATACCCTAACTTTTCATCTCTACCCAGATACTGGGTAAGAATTTTATTTTCAACAAAACAACTGTTGAAGTTTTTACCGTTTGCTGGACCTGACCTTTTTCTTCTAAAGTTGGTATCTTCCTATTTGTTAGATTCTTGTTATCCACCCTACTCCACTGTCACCTTCCCATGCCCCTGAAGGAACTACATGTTGTAACTCTTTTCTGTTTACTCCTAAGGACAGCAACAATAGAACAGTTACGATATCAGCAGAACTGCACAATGTTCCCTGGGACTCCTTCCTTGCCACAGACTCGAGAAGGGAGGGAGTACTCCCAGCACAGTGTCTTGCTGGGGCCAAGGGGAAAGGCAGAGGACTCTATCTTTCCACTGACTTTGTCTCTCCCTCCTCACTTTCTTTCTCCCTGCATGCCTTCCCCTTGTTTCTCTTTCCCTCATTCCTGATTCTGAGTTCCTGTTAGGTAAGTCGGGTTGAACCCTGTGTGCCAAGGTCATTCCACTCAGAGATGTGTATCAGTGTGACTGCACAGATGATTTGTGAATAAATGAATTTCCAAAGTTCCTGAGTTTTTCACTTTGTATTATCACATAGTTCTCATTTGACCTCCTTTGTCAGTGTTTGTTGGGATACAATGTTACCATCATTTTTCATGGCTTAGTTATCACTCTTCATCCAGAGTTTGCACAGGGTGCCTGCAGGGTTACTTTTTCTCAAAGGCTTGGGCTTGGTTTCTTCTGGTGGTATCATTTTGTAAATTGAGATTTTTACCTCACTTCACAATGCTAGAGGACAGGTGGGAATGAGTGCTCTCAGAGATACTGCTGACTGGAGTTCAGTACCCTCATCTCATCCCGTTACAGCCTCTGTCCCTGGTTTCTAACTGACAGCTGCCATTGCACTCCCCTGGCCTTATGTCTTCTTTTGGGTATCAGAGCTTTAAGACTCGTGTTTTCAGGAAATTCAAAAATAGTTCTGACTTTGGAAAATGTAACTTTACATGTCAGATACTAAATTCTGAATGGGATATTACTTGGGATTTTAAAAATTACTGTTTTAAGTAGTTTTTCTAGAAGTCTGTAGACCAATTGTTGGGACAGTGCAGTTATGAAGAAAATTCAGTTTTAGCTGATGTTGTACTAGGGGGTGTGTCAGGTCATTTTGATGTGGAATTTCTATGAAAAAAGCAACAGTGAACTAGTAATTTGTGATGGAGATTGAAGAATTTATCAAGGCCCTAGGCTACCTCTCATCAGGTTTCACACATACCTCGCAGATATTGTTAAGTTCGTTACCAATAACCACTATAAAGTGAGTATCATAATAAAGCAAGTCACACAAATTTTTTGCCTTCTCATTGCATATAAAAGTTATGTTTACACTATACTAAAGCCTATTAAATGTGCAACAACATTATGAAAAAGTTTGAAATATTGTGAGAATCACCAAATGTGACAGAGACACGAAGTGAGCTCACGGTGTTGGAGAAATGGTGCTGATACTTGTTCAGTTCAGGGCTGCCACAAACCTTACTTTTTTTCTTTCTTCACCCAAATTTATTATGGTATTTTCAATCACCTCATGTGCAAGTAGACAGTGAATAAGGAAGACTGTGGAAGAACTGATGTTTTTGAGTTATGGTGTTGGATAAGACCATTAAAAAGTACCATGGACTACCAGAAGAACAAACAAACTTGAGTTGGAAGAAGTACAGACAGAGTATGCATTAGAAGCCAGGATGACAAGACTTCGTCTCTCATACTTTGGGCATGTTATCAGGAGGGACCAGGCCCTGGAGTAGGATGTCGTGCTTTGTAAAATGAAGGGTCAGCAAAAAAGAGGAAGACCCCTAATGAGATAGACTGACACAGTAGCAGCAGCAATGGGTTCAAACAGAACGATTGTGAGGATGGCCTAGAACCCGCAGTGTTTCGTTCTGTTGTGCTTGGGGTGAGACAGAGCTGACTCTGGCACCTAACCACCACCCATGTATCTACCCTCCAGTCAGCTACTCTGTAGGAGAAAGATGAGGCTTTCTGCTCTCGGAAACGTACAGGGTCACTAAGAGTCAGAACTAACTCCATGACACATAACCACCACCATCACCACCCTCTAGTCAAAAAATGCTGTACTTGCAAAGGACAATAGAGCTAAGTGTAATAAAATGAGACATGCCTATATAATGGGGCAAATGTTAGCAGATTTTCTACTACATAGTAGAATCTCCTTGAATATTGTTGTTAAGTACAGTAGAGTCAGTTCTGACTCATAGCAACCCTATATAGAGTTTCCAAGGAGCGGTTGTTGGGTTTGAACAACTGCCCTGCAGTTAGCAGTCCAGTAGCACCACACTAGGACCCTCCCTTGACTATTGCCACTTGGCAATTCATTCTACAAAGAGGCAGAGTACAACGGCACCTAACAATACCAGCCAGCTTCACCTCTGGCTCCTCTAAGTGGGGGAGTGAACAGTTTCCCGCCACTATGGAACTTACACGAGATCTGGGTTGTTGTATGAACTTTATTATGAAAGGTAATTTTGAATATTTTAGAGGAATGGGCATATGAGTAACTCCAAAATGAACTTCCTGTCCATGGTAGAGACATGATCAATGTTAATGATAATAACTGATTTTTAAGTGAGCACCCGAGTTTACTAAACTAGATGTTGACCAGAATTCAGTCCTAATGCAACAAAGCTTGGTTCAGGTTTGCTTTTGTGCTGGAGCTAAAGGGAACCTAATGGTACCAGAGAAATAGAGTTAAATCAATGGAACACCTTTTGGATTCCACTTTGATACTGACAGGGAACATGGATATGCAAGCCAAAGCTACTGTAAGTGGATTTAGTATAAAAAGTAACTTATTTTTGGAAATGTTTATGTAAATAAAATAAGTTCACATTTTGAAAAATCATCAAGCTATTCATTTATACTTTGTATACAGCTGTAAACTTGTACTTTGTACTTTTTATATAAAGTTCAAAGTTTATTTAAAAAAATAGATTTCCTCACCCAGAAATAATTGTTCTCTAGGACTCCTGGTGTGGCGCTGTAGCATATACACTGGACTGTGAACCATAAGATTTGTGGTTCAAACCCACCAGCTGCTCCTTGGAAACCCTGTACTAGGTTGCTATGAGTCAAAATCGACTCGGTGACACTTAACAACAACAACATGCATTTATTGAGGTCCTGGTGTGGTGCTGAATTGCAAGGTTAATTTGAACCCCAAGGTCAGTGATTCAAACTCACCAGCCGCTCCTTGGAAATCCTATACAGGGTTGGAAATCCTATACAGGGTCGCTATGAGTCAGAACCAACTTGACAGCACTTAACAACATCAACATGCATTTATTTATGCATATATCCTATCAGGTAAATCTTCACAAATAATAGCTAATGTTAGTTAAATGTTCACATTTGTCGTTTATTGTCAATTATTCTTTGTAACAGCCACTGAGGTTGGTATTACTATTATTTTACAGGTAATAAAACTGAGACTTTTGGCCAAGGTTCTATATCTTGCAACAATGATTTTCTTAATGTGTGGCTGCAGTGCTCTGGAGTTCTCTGGAGACCCTCCAGAGAGTCTGTGAGGTAAACTAGGGTCCTAGTTGCCCTTTTCACGCCCATTCCCTCAGGGGCTCTCATCACTGCGATGGACAATGGAATGTGTGCTGGTGTACTTTTCCTAAATGTTCTAAGTTCATGGGCTTATGGTATCGATATGTTTTTAGATGTTCACTCAGGCTGTCCTAAGTATACAGAAGTACTCTTACTATTTTCAGTTCTGCCTGCTATAATGCACTTAAGAGAACCTAGTGGCCATGTTTTGAGCCAAAGAGATTTGCAAAAATTTGTAAAACAATGCCATTCATCTTGGGTTTTTTTTTTTCTGTTTTGGAATATATGACTTTTTCTTGAAATATTTTGTTAATATGTAATGGGCTTGTTTTGGGTATTGTAAAATAAATGTACATTTCATTTTATTTTGAAGTACAGTAAATTTATAAATAGCCCACATAAACAAAAGTTCTTTGGGGTACTCAATAATTTTTAGTAGTGGTTATTGACTTTAGTATCCAGGTTTGGTCATTATAAACTCTGGAATGAGCATCTTTATGTATTTATCTTTTTGCCCTTTTGCAGTTCTCTAGAAATTGAGTGAAATGGTTAAGATGTACTTAAATTTAAGTTCCTTACTAGGAAACAAAACTAAAGCTCTTCTCTAAAATTTGCATTGCTAAATATTAAATACATCAGAAGAAATACATAAAACGTATGTACCATTTGACAAAAATATACCTAGATGCTCCTCACGTTTGTGCCTGATTCACTTTAATTCTTTCACAATTTAGGAAAACCTTTTCTTTTTTTTATCTTAATGGGTGCATGAATCTGCGTGGTCTAACCAGTGGTTGGCTGATTGGTGGCATAGTGGTTATGAGTCTGGCTGCTAACCTCAAGGTTAACAGTTTGAAACTACCAGCCATTTTGTGGAAGAAAGATGAGGCTTTCTGCTCCTGTAAAGATTAACAGCCTCAGAAACCCTATTCGAGGTAGCTATTATGAGTCGGCATCGACACCACGGCACACTACCACCACATAAAACAAAAAATTGCCATCTGAATCATTTTAGCATATAATTCAGTGATATTTTCATGAAGCTATGCTACCATTAAGGAGCTCTGGTAGCATAGTGGTTACGAATTGGGCTGCTAATCTCAAGGTCGGCAGTTTGAAAGTACCAGCTGTTACGCAGGAGAAAGATGAGGCTTTCTGCTCCTGTAAAGATTTACAGCCTCGGAAACCCTGTGCAGGGTCACTATGACTTGGAACTGACTCCATGGCACATAACAACAACAATGTTACCATTACCACTATTCATTTCCAAAAGTTTTCCTGGACTGCTAACTGCAAGGTAAGCAGTTCAAACCCACTAGCTGTTCCTCAGAAATCCTATACCGGGTTGGTGTGCATAGGAACCAACTCGACGACACTTAACAACAACAACAAACAGTAACTTAGTACCCCTTCATCAATCACACCTTCTCCCTCTTCTAGCTACCAATGAACTTTGGTCTCTGCGTTTACTTAGTCTCAATATTTCTTAATATGATACTTATCCTTCTGATTGTTGTTATTTCATTCATAATAATGAGTCCTGGTGTGGCACTGTTAGATAAGCACTGGAATGTTAACCGCAAGGTTGGCAGTTCAAACCCACCAACTACTAGTCGGAAACCCTATACAGGGTTTCTGTGACGTGGAACCAACTCAAAGATACTTGAACAACAACAACACTGTTTTCAGGGTCATTTCACCTTCTTTATAAACCAAAAGCATTGGCCATTTTCTACCACTGTTGTTCCCATCATCTGGAAATTTGGATCACTCTCCTGAATAGCTTTACTACTGGTTTATTCCTGGACTGCTATTGACTTGCTTTTAGCACTGGCCTAACAGTGAGGACAGCTTCTTAGAAGAACAGCCCAGTAATGTGGGAAACATTTTGACCTTCAAAGTTTTGGAAACAACTATTTTCTTCTCCATGAGGCATTTTGCCAACCCTTAAGGAGCTCTGGTAGC